TCATTTTCCTATTGCCCGAAGCTTCAAGAGAGAGAGAGAGAGAGTAAAAAACAGATTCTACCAACGTTGTCAGTCTTTCAAAAGAGGTGAAGAAAATAGGTAATTCTGCTTAAAAATCACCCAGAAGTCCTCAATCTCTCCAAAATAACTATAATATTTTTATATAAATTATAACAGGTCATTCCAAAACAATCAGACCTGAAGATGGAAACAGTATGTATCACCGAAACAGAATCTATCTAAGAGCTTACACTGCGTCAGAACCCAGAACAACAATGTTATCCTCTCCGCCGTGAGAACATATTAGCCTCCATGTCATTTAAATTTATACTAATTTTCAATATTACTAGATTGAATAAATCAACATGAGATCTGCAAGGCAGTTTTTCAGGCCTAAGCTTAATTAGGACGATGATATTTAAATGGGTCCCTTAAATACACAGGAGAGATTTAATTAAGATGGTTCAGGATGTTTACTTGTGACGGGACTTTGTGAAGACCGTCATAAAGTTTAAAGCTCCATAAACTGTGGTGAATTCCTTGACCAACTAAGCGACTATCAGCATCTCATCAAAGGACTCTGTTACAGGGAGTTAACTGCTGTAACGAAACAGTAGGTATCGGCGAATATTGACTAAGCTGTTGAGTAAGTTCTTAGAAAGACATTGTAATTAAGACGCTCGGTGTTCTCTTTACTGCATGTTCCAAATGCAATGAAAATAGCTGTAAAGAAAAAGGTGCTACAAGAGCTGTAAGAAGGATAAGAGAAAACAAAAGGACCTTGGCTCAAGTAGAAGGTAAATGCAGGAAGATATTGACTTAGTAGAAGGAAGTGGCTGAGCGCGGAGCTAAAACTTCCTCATCCGAATATACACTAAAAAGAAATTCCTTTTATTAATTAAATTTGTTTGTTCAATCTCATTCCATTATCGATGACAAACTTTACTTCACTGAAATTCCTGTTGAAATGTATTCTAACACGTCAATGTTTAACAGTTTGTGACAACAGTTCAATGAGACAGAAATATCTAAAAACTTGTGTACACTTTATGAAACAAGCAGGAAGTAACGTTTATTTGTAAGACAAAGCATTGCTGTACTTGCCTTGGGCAGCGTAACAATGAATATTCATTATAGCGTTCAAGGCCCAAAAGTATTCATGTCACAAAACAATTTCCACTCCCTAACTACTTATTCTCCACCGGTTCTACAGATAGCAGACTTCTGATTTGTGAGGTAACCTCTAAAATGTCACTAGGGCAACGTTACCCCTTCTCTCTTTGTCTGAAAGTATGACACATTCTGTACGACCCTGTCTGTCACCATGACAAGGGGCAATTTGGAGGGGCACAAGAAGATAACGTTAATACGAGTAAAAATATTAATTCGGAATATATAAAATTTGTAACTGTTTGTTATTCTACTCACTACGAGTAGGTAAGTGACTCTTATATGATGAAAGTAAAACAAAGGTTCAGTTGTCGAAGAATAGGGGAGTGGAGATATAGTTCCACGTATTCTTAATCTCGTCTAGGTTGAAGTGAGCCGCTGGTATTACTCACCATCCTTTTTACTCCTGTATCTGTAGGCCAACCCACAAGACAGCAGGATGGGTGGACCTCAGAGGTGCTTTCTGTATATGAACCCTCATCGCCCATCCAAGAGACCAATTACTATATCGACTGAGCTTTTGTACAAAGGCGAACGATATCAAAACCTTCGGCAAAACAAACAAAAATAAGACACCTCGAAGATAACGATTGTCATAATCATCGGGTGCAATAATGTTGTAATGTGTAGGCCCAAGTCGTTTTGTATGAAACGTACTGTGGGGCTGATGAAGGCGGTCTGTGGTCCAGATGGCGCGTCAAAAGTTCCAATACTTAGGCTTACGTGTGAAAATAAACTATACGTTCGTATCTGCAGACGCCATGTAAACTAGCGCCACTTCCAGAAACCTTCCCGTTCCTTTCAACTGTCACGTCAGGGATGTCTGACGATATAATTGTTTATCGATCAGTCCCATGATGAAATGCTGAGACGTACGAATGATAACATCACAGTCGGTACAGAGGGTCCTGTTCATTATACAAAACCATGTTCTTCATTCATTTCCTCAATCAATTATATCATGACGGCCTTGTGAGTGAGGACATCGTTCAATAAATAAAACACTGACGCATTTCAGTATAATTAGAAAAGAGAAAACATCGCATTAGAAACATTTCACCAAGCGGGACAAACATTCAGGGACATACCAAGGTTGCTTTTTCTTTCAGATCGGCGTGCGTGTCAGGTCTTCAACCCCTTGAACTAAGAAGTTTATCCAAGTGACGTTTTAAAACTATTCCCACCTCAAACAAAACACAAGGAGTCGATAAGTCGATAGTCCTTGGAACTAATTCCTTAAATTTAGGCCTACACTCTACGGGAAAAATACAGAGTTACTAACTGATAAAACAGATGCTACGTTCAGTTACCACTTAGCTTTGAAGAGTCAAACATATTCAGACCTACGCTCGTAAAATTCTATGTATCGTCGTGTGCGTAGTACACGAGCTATTTCTGTACGCGTACTTAATTATTCAGTCCGTTGTTGTTTCTCATATTGACACGAACACTTTGGGTAATTAACTCCACGCAGCAAAGCTATTTTCTTTCACTCCTAACTTAACTGCCGATGTTCGCCACGCTTGTCTGTAGACGCGGTCCCCCCTTGCTAAAACAGAAATTCAGGTCCTGACGGTGACAACTCTGGTAGCAAGAAATACAAACTAGCCAAAGGTAGCCTGTAGAGCCTATCGTTAAACACAATAAAAGTTCATTCCCGTCAAATCTGACGGGTCATAGTACGCTGGCTAATTCATAGTCGCTCAGCTGCTATGCGTGACACCAAGTTTTACACCCATTCAGAACCACATGAAGATGGAGGGAAGTTCGGTAACCGCCTACAAGAATAACGCCGCCATAACCCAGAAGACCATAATCGACTATCCGCGTTAAATGGGCCCGTTAGCATCACGGCATAACGCATCTTCACACTGTGGACAAAGGAGTCGGATGCGAGATACTGAGGGTAGCTGCGTACATGTCTAATACCCAGGTCGTGACAGTTTTCCCACAAGGGGTAGATCACCAAACAGAGAACTGGAAGGGGTAAATCCCCCATCTCCGTAAAAAATACTACAACATTTTACACAGGCCTTCAGATGGGAGACCTAGACGACGTATG